AGACTCATTATGGGTTGCGGTGGGAAAAAAAAATTGGGATTGTCTACAACTTATTTTGGTTTGTTTTTAATGGGCTTGTGGGAATGTGCAAGACTTAGTTTTGGATGTTGGGGGATGGTTTAAAATTGGGGAAAGGAAAGGATTGAGGTGGTTTGAGAAGGAGAAAGTGTGGGAAAAAAGAAGATAAAAAGGGCAGGTTTGTATGCTTGCCTGAGCCCTGCCTGCATTTGGTCACTGCAATCTGTTCTGTATGCTCATTAAAAACTATTCTTACCTGGTTAAAACCAGAGTGTGCTCTCTAGTTTGAGTGAGTATGTGTGAGCATACACTGGTTGGTGAGCAGGAGAAGAGGGCTGAGTACCGCAGCTGCAGCAGGGCTGTGAGTTGTGGGCTTGCATGTACCAGCAATGGGGAGAGCAGGGGCTCAGGGACCAGCTACGGGATGCTGTGTCCAAGAACAGCTGCATGTGTGTGTATGTATGTGTCCACATACTTTTAGTGGTCTTCAACTCTGATCAGCCATTGGGGAGGAAGAGGATGGGGGTGACAGGCTCCTCTGGCAGGTGAGAAGACCAGCCTGCTCAGAAGAAGCAATTGTCAGCACAGCAGGACAGATCTGAAGCTTTGCAGAAATCCCCAAACCTTCAAATTCATCACAGCTCTAAAGATGGGAGTTTTTCCTGTCAAAGGCCTAAGCTTTTCTTGTTCTGGGCTTCTGAGTTCCCAGTGGGGGCTTTTTTTGTTTTGCCGCAAAATACAAAAAAGTTAAAATCAGATCTACAGATTTTGAAGAGACAAAAGAAAGCTGTGCTTTTTTCCCTTATAAAAATCAGCCATCACTAGGAGGAAATAATCAAAGGAGTGAACCAGGAGGGAATGTTACCGCATGGGACTTCCACAGGGCTCAGGAGCAAACTGTCCACTGGGCTGCCAAGGGCTTTGCCACTAACTGTGGGGCAGAGGAGGGGCCATCCTTGATTCTCTGATTTCTTCTGCTGTATTTGTATTGAACACATTCAAAGTAGTGCAGGACATAGGATACCCTTCATATACCATCATCCTGTTTTACAAATAATATGATAGTTCTAGATGCTGCAAAATACCACCTGTAGAAAGTCTACTTATTTTCAGTGCTCTATCACTGTCGATGAAGTTGAAAGCATGTTGCAAAGGTCTACAAGACATTACACCAAAGACAGTCTTTACAAGACATTACAAGACAGTCTTAGAGAATCATGTAAAATAAGTTTTAGACTAAATTGCAGAGAGGAGAAAATGGGAAATTTTTTACGTATCTGGAGCAACATTTATAGAAGAGTTTTAAACTTTGTGGGGTGTTCGAGCTGCATGTATTCCGTGGATTATACCATATATGTTATATTCAAACAGAAAAAGGTTGGGCATTGCTATTTAGAATTGCAAATAGCTGCAGGTCTGGAGCAGCAGCAGCTTGAGTGTGGTCCCAAGGGCTGTAATTTCATTTAGAGGCTGGACTGGGGAGAATTGCAATCACAATTTTTATGTTCTGTAATAGTCTTTTTAGCTTCAGTTAAAGCCTGGCACTGCAGCCCGTGCTGTCAAACTGTGGCTCATGGGGAGATGTGTTAAGCCCTCACAAATATTTTCTTGCCAAAAGGGAATGAGTAGATTACAGGAGCTTTTATATATATATATTTGTCAAGTGTGTAGAAAAACAGAATCAGTTTCCAAGGGTATGCCTCTTAATAGCAAATACATGTCTAGAAGAACACTGCTTCCAGGGCCACAGCTCCATGGCTGTTAGGCAGCACTGAGCTCAGCCATGCCCAACCACCTTGAGGACTATGAACACAGCACTTTCTAAAAAGAAAACTGAGGTCCATACATATAGACACATGTCTCCAGTATCTGTGGTAAGTGGAAAGAAATTCTGTCTTGATTTATTCATGACTAAAGCAGTGATGGCGAAGGGCCCCAGGAACTGCAAACACCAGCCACCAGCTGCATCTTGGTGTCTTTGCTCCTTTTTGTGCATGCCCCTCTATCCCTTTCACACTGATTCCTGGGGATGTTCTTCCCAGGACTTTGCTCTGTGTTAGAGGACAAAACTCAGGAGAGCATTTGGTACCTGAGGATTAAAGCATGGCAGAGCACAGATTGCTGTGTTAGTTAATCCTGGTTCCTCTCAGGCAACCTGGCAGTCCGCCTCCCTTTACGTCTGTTAGCAGATTGCCTTGACGTCCCACAGATGATGGCATCTTGGCCTGTTTGCTCCTCCACACTTGTGCCTCTCCAGCTCTTTTTGGCTATTTGCCTCTTCCAAGGGAGGCGACCTCTGGAAAACATTAATTAAAGTATGTCACCAGTGATGGGAATGAAAGTCATGCAGAGATGCATCTAACGGGATTGAAATCTGGTGTGCTAACCACATGTACAGCCATTGCAGCTTTAACAGTGAAGTTTTATAATTTATCAATAGCCAACATGGACAAGAAAGAGGAGCCACACCACTAATTCCTTTGAAGGCAGAGTTTATGGTACTACATGTGTGTGTCTTCAGCATCTCCTAAGACTATTAGAAGGAGAAGGAGGTTGGCTCTGTGGGGCAGCTTGTGCTGTGGCAATTCAAGGGTTGTGGCCGGCAAGGCAGTAACATGGGACCTCCCTGGGACCTACAAGGGGGGACACTTCTGGGGGTGATTTTGGTGGTGGGTGCCCCAGATCCCCCAGGAAAGCCCTCCCATGCGGTGGGCGGAGGAAGCAAGCAGACGATTCAATGTGAATGATAGAGCAAGCTTCAACTTTATTGAAAGAAATCACACCTTATATAAGCATTCTACAATACACTACTTGTAACTCTATTGGATACATTAAAAAAACTTTATTATAATATCTCAGCCATTGGGTACATCTAAAAGGTCACATTATAATATCCCAGCCCCTTGTGGCATTTCTGGTATGCATAAACATCTTCCTAGCTGTAAACCTGCTTCTCTCACAGGGCTGTTTGTCTCTCACCCCCAAGGTCATAATGTGCCCCAATTTATCTCTGTGTTCTCACAACAGTCCTTGTTATCATCACTGTACCCTGGGTTTTTTCCTCTGTTTACCTCAGGTGGCTGCAATCAGCTTCTGCAGGGAGCTATGGCCTTGCTCTCTGCAAGCCGTTCTCCAACTCTCCCATCCCCAGTGCTGATGTGCTGCAGGGAGGGAGGGTATCGCTGGGTTTTAGCATTGGCTAGGTGGACAAGTGAGCTTGGGTGGCTCCCTGCATCATGACCAAGGAGACAACCCAAGTGTCTTCACAGGGGTCTTAATCCCCTGAGTCCCAAACCCCAACTAAAGCAGCGTGGCTCTGTAACACACACCAAGCCAGTTTCAAAGCACTCACTTTGGAGACTGCTTCTTCAGAGGTTCTTAAAAAATCAGTAATAAGTCACAGTCTTATGTGACATAGGCCAGCCTATGTTGAGTAGACTGTCAGATGCTGGCCATGTGACTGCTCCCCTTCTCAAAGAGATGGCAGGTATCAGAGGGTGTAAATATCCACAGAGATCTGATCCAAGCAGCCCGGCCGGACCCAGCCCAACAGTACATGGCTGTGGGTAGCCCCCCTGAGGCATCTGGCCAAACACCAAAGAGAGATTCATTGAGGGCAGGGCACAGCTAACACAGAGATGGGTCCTGCTGAGCAACAGAGCTGCTGCTCAGGTTACGGAAGGTGGACGTGTAACCGTGGGGATCTCCCGCTTCAGGATTTCTTGTGTTTGAACCAAAATCTGGCTTAAGAGACTTAACCAGGGCCATTGCTAGGTTTAGGTTGGTGTCACAGCTCTGTTGTTCTACCATAAATCCTGTTTCAAGCTCCAGGGGGCAAAAGGTCTTCTCTTCAGTGAGCTGAGACCAACATAGTAACTCAACACTTGTCCTTTCCCCATCATGGCTGGCCTAAGCTGGTGATGGGTGGCAATCCCACGCAGGCCAGCAACATCTAAGGACAGATCCTCCTAGGAAACATAAAGGAGTAACTGCAAAATTCTGCAGTTGGCTGGTTCTTGGAGCCAGGCTACCCGGAGGACCAATGGGGAGAGCTGCAGTGGCTATTCCAGGGCTCACACAAGTTAAGATATAGATCAAATGTTTTGTAGCAGCTCAGTTACCAGCAAAAGTAAGGAGCAAGGCTTGAGAGAGAGACGGTCCTGAAAGGACAGAGAGATGTAATTTGTCCCAAGGCTAGGAAGTTGTCAAACTCCAGGTCAGGTGTACACATCCAAGCACAAGTGGCTACAATCCTATGAAGTGAAGCAGGCAATTGCAATGTTAAGCAGATGAGAGCCTGGACCAGGCACTTTTCATTTTCCTTGCTCTAAAGTCTGCTTATGATAATTGCTTTTGAATATTTATGTTAGGATTGCTTATTTGAAAGAAGTCACAGCTGCAGCTGCTCTTGCTGAAGTGACAGTCTGTGCTGCTGTCTCCTAGAGACCTTAAGTACCCACTCTAAAAGAAATAATACTTTTTTTAAAAAAATAAGACTTGATTCAAAATGGGTATAATTCCAAAGAGCAATGGGATTTATTAATGGTTTAAAGACCAGTGTAAGAACACAGATGATCAGAACCACAAGGAACAAAGATGGAATGATGGAGAAAGGACTTTTGCCTGATGCAGTGACAGCCACTGTGGGAGAACCCAGAAGTGGCTGTTGTGAAAGGGTCAGCTCTGAACAGGTAACACCTGTCTTCACATCACAATTGAAAAAGAATAGAAATGCCACATCTAGGTGAGTTATTGTTGAGGATCACCACTTCCCATTCAGCTGCCAGACCTGGAAGCACCAGGAAGATTCATTTTAAAGGTGCACAACAACCAGGTCTGCACTTGCCTTCCTCACTGACTGCAGTGAGACCCTCTGCTCATGAGAAAAACCTGAAGCTGTTGGCTGAAAGACATGATGTAACCTTTTTTTTTTTTTTCCCCCAGCATATAAAATGCTGCACACAATTCATAAGGACAGAAAATCACATGCATGTGCTTTATTTGAGAATTAGGTAATCACATAATTAGAAACGATATGCACCATATGCAGGTGGGGCGGCTGAAGTTAAGGATGAATGTACCGAAAGTTTTCACAGATTCTGATTTTTAAGGTTATATTACTCTTAAATCAACATACAATTTATAATTGGCTTAACAAAAATAACCAAGTCTACATTTCAGAAACAAAACAAGTCCCCAAGCACAAGTAGCCCTGGACTCCTGGAGCCCTCTGGAGCATTTTGAAACTTCTTTTACACAGAAAAAAACCCTTTCCTACTGGACAGAAACGTATTGATGTTTCACCTCAATGTTTCTTTTGAAAAGAAAGCTATTTCGACAATGCTGCTTTTGTGCTGTCAACAGGATACCATCCAATCCCTAAATAAAACGTATTTCTACTGCTGTTGATTATATGGGAATGAACTTTGTGCAGAAAAGCCAATGTGCACAGTGCATCCACTGACTGCAACAGCAGAAGCAAAAAATAAGTCTACATAAATAGGTGTTTAAATCAGAAGAGCAGAGATTTTGCTTAGGTGACAGTATTGCTATACCATATTCTAACAAAATTTTCCAGATCCAACATCACGGTAACTCAATATTTTGTCCTGAAGATAATTACAAAGAAATCATTAAGTCTTATCTTTATTGCTTTTAATTGTTCCTCGATAACAGCAGGTTCAACAGGGGTTTTTTGCTAATAATATATTCCTTAAAATTCTTCTTAAAAATCCTATTTATTATATGCTTACCACAAAAGCCTTCTTTTTATTGACTTCATTATGAATTCCCCACCTATGTGACATCTCAGGAGGGGACACTGCTCTTGAATCGAGATTTTTAACACCAGTATTAATAAAGGCTGTCAACACCAGCACAAAACAAAGGCGAGAGCTTTAAAATCTAAGCTGATAGGCTTTTCACATCCAGGGAAACCTCCCTGACTTTTACAAAACAGTTTCCTGATGTGCCTGGAGTCAATATGCTGCAACGCAGGCTGGCAGCACAGAATAGCAATAGAGTCCATTAAATCTGCATTGGGAGCCAGTTACCAGGAATGTTACATAGTAATTATGGTGAGGATTTTCTGTGAAATAAATTGTTTTTTTCAAATGAGATTCTGAAAAATCATCCATTAACATTTCTGTAGAAATGCTCTACAGCTTGTCCAAATTGTAGAGGACAGCTCATCTTTTCCCACAGAAGCTTACAGACCTTGTAATTTACTAAGTTACTGCTTGTTCTAATGTCTCTTCGAGGGAATGGTCTGGCATTGGTAAGAGATTAGTTTGTGTATTAATGCAATTCAAAAGTTCACTCAATTTACAAAGTAATGAAAACTTAATTTGAACTCTCAACAATTCCACTTTCCCCCCTATCTCAAGTTCATAACACGGATTGCATCAAGTCTTCAAGAGGCTGCTTCAGAGCAGGAAAAAAAAAAAAGCAGATGAGAGAAAACACATTCCCAACTCACATCAAGGCTTGACTAATTAGAATCACACACGCCACATATGGAGGTGTAAAGTACCCCGAGTACTCCCGCCTGAGCACGAAAGGGGCTGCCTGCGCTCTGGTTACAAGAGCTCTGCTCTTGAGCACGCTTCAGAGCGTCCACTCAAACACGTCCTTGGAGAGGGCAGGAGACCACGATGGGGCCAGGGAGGGCAGCAAGCAAACAGCAGGGGTACAGCCGGGTGGCAGGATCTGGCCAGCTCTAACATCTGATGACCTGTCCTCAGTTTGGAGAAGCAGGGACCAAAGAACAAAAATGAACACAAAGCACAGAGCAACAGCGAAATCTTGATAGAAGCAGCCATCATCCCTGCTACAGACTTGTCTGAATCAGTGAGGACTGCACGATGTGCTCATGAGTTCAGCTCTTTCAGCATAAGGCAACACCTGATAATGAACTGATTTCTCAAGGCAGCAGGATTTCCAAAAGTGGGCATGAGGATAATTTTTTGTCAACCATGAAGATTTAGCTAGTCATGAAATGCTCACCCTGTCATTGCTTCAGTTGCCTAAAATACCCCCAAACATTCCTAATACCGCCTTTCTGATTAAGAAACCTACGTTTGCCAAATTGCTAGAGAGATCTTATGTAAGCCCCAGCTGCAGAAGAGCTATCCCAAAAGGGGAAAGACAACTAGAATGTAGAAACCTAGTGAGGCTTTGCTTGCTGAGGCAAAAAAAGCACAAGGCACTAAGAGAAGTCTGTTTCAGGGGAGGAAAAATAAAACAACCTTTGTTTAAACCCTCTTCTCACCTCAAAATGAAAAGACTCAGAAACTCAAAACTGATTAAAGAAAAACAAAACAGAATACAAAAACAGTCCCTCTTCCTCAAGGTAGCAGATTTTTCAGATAGCAAAATAAATTGTCTAATAAAACCCAGTGCAGTATCTAAATATATTGTAAGTAAGCATTCATTTGTGACACTGAAAACTCTCCAAGACTTCTCAGCACATGGAGGCTGTGCCTTGGGCTCCCAGCTCATGCAATAAAATCAGACCAAGTTCTTAGCCATTCATTTCTGGGGCTTGCTGGGGGACTGCTCCGTTAACATGAACCAACCCAGACACTGTCTGTCACAGTAACCTTTTTTCAAACTATTGAACCCCATGGTATTTAATATGCAAAATGTGTCACACTTCCAGACAAGTTGCCAGCATCTCATATATAAAATTATTTTCATATATACTTTCAGTAACTCCTCAAAAAGGATCCCAAGCATTACTTGAGAGAAAAGTCTCATTTTAATTAATACAACCCTCCTTGCAGCTGCTCCACACACACAGAGAGAAGAGCTAAAGAACTCTAAGCATAGATGCATTTTTTAAAATGCAGATTTATTTCCTTTTTGATACCAAAAAGCTGTTCTGCTCTGCAAATTAACTGACAAAACAAGCTTTATTTTGGTTTGATTTTCACATTGTATTTGCTTAAAAAGATGATTTTCTGATGATAAGCCCTACAAATTGAAACTCAAATCAGATTTTCTCTTCTTGTATACTACCATTTTATAATTATATCTGCAAATCTTAAGGTTTTACTACTTCTGCTACCATTAGCTCTTCCTGCTATAGTACAGAAATTATACTGCATACATATAAACCTGTAATTATGTACAGACACAGAATCATAGAAATAAAAGCACTGGGCAGACATAAAAGCTACCATTTGAGTTTATACTCCCCATCAGGAACTCCAGACAAGCAGTGAGTGTCCTGCCCACAAGCCTAAAAGGGGATTTTTCCATGGCCTTCAGGTCAGGCTCAGCAAGAATAGCTTAAGCATGGCAGGAGAAAATGGGACACCACCAACTCCATTGCAAGACCAAGTCTAGAGCTCCTTAAAATAATACCTATTTTAAGTAAATATTTGTATACTAAAAAAAAAAATAATCAAAGTTTTAAAATAGCCATTTTTTTAATACCAGTTTATTTATTGTCAGTTTAGTTTTAGTACACATAATCCTCCCTAACAGAGTATTTACAGACAAGGAAAGATAGTTAAACATCAGGATATTTATTTTGCATACAAATATTTACAGAAAAATACTTACAAAATTAAGTATTCAAATTTTAATTGACTTCAAAAAAGCTTCATGCTTTTATGTTATAAAAACATATTGCCTTTACTGTGCTCAAATTTACTATTCAGATCTCTGGATTTTCTTATAAGTGCTTTCTTCTGTGCTTCGTCAAATCGATTGATTTTGAGATCCTGATCTCGGTCAAATGGCCTTCTTTCTTGAGGTTTGTTTTTTTCTTCAGACACTTTGCTCTTTAGCTTTTTCTGATGTATGTCCATGAGAGACTCTGACCTCTTTGACTCCTGGAAAAATCAGAAGAAAGAAGAGGAAATAAAGTATTATAAAATACCAATAACATACAGAAAATCCCAAATGGAAAGACTAAAGTTAGGAAGTCTAAAATTTCCAGAAAAAGAAGACAGCTTAGTGACTGGAAAACAGAATGATAAATTTAGCACACGCAGAGCAGAAAGCTTGCGTAATCTTATCTACGCTTAATGAAATACTAACAATTCACTGACGTTAAAGATAACCATAATGTTGAATCTCTGCCAACAGTGGAGATAAATAATAAAAATAATGCAAAAGAAATATGAAAGTTGCTCTGCCAGAACAATTTCTCTATTAGCAGAGACAAATGAAGATAACATGTCAAGAGAGATACCTCTAAGTACAGGCCCAGATTCTTACATACTTCCCCCTAAGCATCTGGATTTGGTCACTGCTGGGAGCAGGAACAAGCTAGATACTCTTTCGATCTTACTCTCACACACTACTGTGGCTCTAATGTGGGCTCTTTTCAGTATTTGAATCATCTGTTGCAAGCCCACAGGATAAAGGTACAGGTTTTGTCAAGTCAAGGACTTCAGTTGTGTTTATTAAAGAGCATGATCCAGCCCAAATAGAACATAAAACCTTTGCTGATTTCACACAGGAGCAGTTCTCATGAGATTACATGGCCCCTCCATTACTCAGGTAAAGTGTATTTGCATATCCCTAAGTAGTCAATTTCTCAGACTCTCAAATCATTAGAAACCAGGCAAAAGATCAGTCCAAACAAATTCTTCCATCAGAAAGAGCAAAAGATGAGAAGCTCTGTTTTCTCATGTCTAGGGACAGGAGATCTTATTCCAAAGGTTCATTTTCCTTCATACTCTGTGCAAACACTTACTTCAAACACACAAATAATAATTCATACATGACAAAAAAATATTCTCATGGAAAACAGAAAACAGACAATACTTATTCATGGTGTAACTCTGTCAGCATTGACAGAATTGCACCAGAGAATGTATACAGTATCAGCAGCGAAAGAATTAACTGTAAGAAACTATTTTAAGAATTAAAGCTCCTGTTCAATGAAAGTATACTTGATAAAGTTCAGTGACAAAAGAAGAGGAAAAAAACTTTAAAAGAAAAAAAATCCACCTGAAAAAAATCAGAAAAGAGCTGATCTAAAAACCTAATCAGACAACAAAACAACCCAAGAAACACTGTTCTTAAACAAGATGCCTTCTTCAATTTTTTTCTGAGAGAACTCCATTAACCTTAGAAACACTAGAAAGCCTATATACATGTTATTCTGGCAATGGTACAGAGCAAAAGCTGTAGTTTTACATGAAAATTATTCTACTATATTCATGGTAATAAAAACAGACAATACAGAAGAAATTTAAGACAGTATGCTAATAGCTCTGAATTTGCAAGCCTCTAAGTCAAAGACGGACATGTGATTTAATGAACTACAAATAAATAAAGTGCCAGATAAACTTCAATCACATAATATAAGCCGAGCCTGCAATTCTCAAGTTAATTATACTCTCAAGAGACCAGACTGCCTTCCATAAGACTTCAGACCATAAATCAGGGAAGAAGTGGAACGAACAGCTGTAAGGCAGGCAACAGTCCACATACTTTGGTGGACAGGGCTGGCAGACAGAAAAGCGAGAGGGAATTTGACAGGAATTCAGGTTTCTAGTAATCAACATCTGTCTGTGAAAATTACCTGCTTCTGCAGAGACTGAGGAAAATTTCATATCATAATGATGATATAATGAGCAGTTAATGTAATTAACTACATAGTATAATGAATGAATTTATCTGCTTGGCCCATTAAGCTTCGTTTGGTTTAATGCATATTTTGTCCTAGAAGTTAAACCTTTACTATTGTTTTAATCTTTGGATGTTGATAATTCAGTGAAGCTAGCTAATATTTGAATTAAGGTTGTCTACTCCCAGCAACCATGGCTTGATGTGAGCATGATTTAAGGAAAACACCACCTAAAACTGAGACAATATGAACAAACCCCATCTCTGTCCCACTGTTTTCAGCAGCAGCTGGAGGACCCAATCCTGCTCTTGTTGAAGTCAATGGCAAACGTTCTAATGACTTAAAACAGCAGTAGGTTTGGGCACTAAAAGGGAAGACTAATGGCATCACCATGGAAACCAGCAGCTCTAGAAATGAGAACCAGAAGAAAAAAAAGTGAAGAATTAAAGGAAATGTAGGAAGAGGAATTCATTTGCTATTACACTTACATTGTATGAAGTCACCTGCTCAACAAGTCTCTTGTCTCTCCCAGATAATACAATTTCTTCATTATCCTTACTGGTTGACTTTTTTGCCTCTTCTCTTTCCTGTTAAGTAGAAGCAAATCACACACTATAGTAATCAGAATGTCTGAAGCAAAAAGCAAGGAAATCTATATTTACTTTAATTAAATCTGAAAGGGTAGAGGCCATGATAGAGGCCACCAGACATTTTTTGCTCAGCTTGATAAAAGAAGGAATTGGACACACTGTAATTGGAAATTCAATGAGCTGATACTGAGTACCTGTCTACGCAGAAGGGAGAGGAAATAAATTACTATCAATGTTACTTAAAATTGTCATTTCCTTGCCTTTATCTTGAAGCCTGAATTAATAACCTTTTCTAACAAAGAAAAATCTGGGAAAAAAAAATTCATTTAACAGCTCAGGATATCTTTACTTTGTTTTCACAGAATATCAACAACATACATACAGCCTGCAGGTATATATGAATGAAGAAATGCTCACTTTGGCTTTTCTCTCTCTGTCAGCGGGAGTATCTGTCCAAATAGATCTATCTCCTGGTTTGTCATCAGCTCTCTTCTTAAATGTTCTTGGGCCAAATCCAAAGCTTTTCAATTCAGGTGGAAGTTCTGTCATCCACGATTCCCTGGTAACTTGCTTGGGTTCATCCTTTACAAAGAAATGGGGGGGGTGGGGATGGGGTGGGCAGAGTAAATAAAGCATAAGTCAACAATTGCTGTCTGAATCTCTTAGCTTCCAGCAAAGCCCATGGATTTTTCTTTGTCTTAGCAACTGCAAACACTTAGCATCCCAAGCAGAACTGCAAATGGGTTAACACAGAAATAGGCAAAGAAAAACACAAATGCAATCCAGCACCAAAATATTAGAAGAAATCCAACTTACACTGTCTGCTGAAGTAAGTTTTTCCTTCATTCTCTGAGCTCTGCGTTCAAATTCTTTAGACACATCAGACTCCACTGGTCCTTTTGCAGGCATTGGGCCTATAAGATCGTCTTCTTCCTCACTACTATCTGTTACCTTCCAAAAATAAACATTTCTCTCAACCATAGTGCTAAGACTATCAAGAAAGACTTTCGCTTCAGAGGATTAGAATGATTTTGTCTAGAAGAGCATATAAACCTAATGCAATGCATCTGCCAGTCAGACAACAAAAACTTGGATTATAACTCCAGGTTTAGAGCTGTTTTGGCACTTCAGCATGGCTATTTAGTCTCCGTGTTTCCAAAAGCACCATATCTTGTCTGAGGCAAAATTGCTTGTAAACACAGTAGCAATACAAAAAATCCTGCTACTTTACATTGCTCTACACGCAGCCATGAGGCCTCTGTGGCTATAGGTAAATTTGAAACACAGAAACATACATCTTTGATACTTTGGGCTTTACCATCACTAGTAACATCTGGATGGATCTTCATATTAAAGATCACAATTTCACACTGCAAGAACTGTCTTGAGCTCAGATTCTCAAGGATGCTAGAAAAATTAACTTGCAAGCGAGGGTACAGTGGCAAGGCATGGCAATACACTCCTGGGTGTATAGTATCTGCCAGTCTAATCTCTTGGCTCTGTCATTCACTTCTTTGATCCCTTTGGACACTGCGTTCTAAGCATTTGGAGAACAGCTCAAAAAACTAGGTTCAAAAGGGACTAGATGCTAGTAAGAATCTCTGTGGATGCCAGGGGTTTTACAGAAAGCTCACAGGTCCCTCCAAGTCAGAGCAGTATAAATGTGGACAGAGGCAGAACATGGCGATGCCCCAGTGTGCTGGAAGCAAAGCTAAAGTGCCCACTATCTATGAAAGTGAAAAGATTTAGCTACAGCCTGAATGTGGGTGATAAAGCAATGGGAGTAGGACGATGACAAGGCTGTATACTCAGGAAGTACAGAGCATTACTTTAGAATACAAGGTGGTGGCAAAGAAGTTTCAAATGAAGGATGAAGAAGGTGGGGTGGGGGGTGGCTTGGTTTTGTCATGCCAAACTTTGGTTACCAGGTGGACAGCCTAGAACCAAGACATGACACCATCAGCACTTAAGGACTCAAGAGCAATAAGCAGTGGAAAACAGTATCAGGAGCATTCTAGGTAAAATAAGGTGCCCAAGGCAGAGGTGACCCAGTGAGTGGCGTATACAAGAATGCAGTACAGAACCTCACTAGAAGAGTCACCTAATGGGAGCATGGGGAATGGAGGATGAGTGAAAGGGAGGAGGAGGGCAGGAAAGGTACCTGCTACACTGAGTTCAAGCCTAATACATCAGGTTGCTCGTAACTGGCTGTAGAGGGATTTGGGCTAAGGAAGACAGCAGGTGTGAAATAAGCCACTTCACTCCTATGTGGGCCATTTGCTACAGAAACTGGCACGCTTTAATGACACTGCTCCAAGCTAGACAAGCCAGCTGGCCCCATCTGCCTTTAGGAGTCAAAAGTATGAACAGTTGAGAAGGCAAGCTTCAGGTAATGACACAGCTACATACGGCTGTGGACCACAAGGTGCAAGAAGAGGCTTAGCAAATTTAATGGCTGTATGATCACTTGCATGAAATGGGATTTGAATGACCGAAGAGGGTGAGAAATAGCTGGTCATTCATAATCACCATCAATGCAAGGTGGTAACGCCAATTTCTCTCACCATTTTTCTCAAAAACAGTTACATAGTCAAGCTTTCACTAATTATCTAGCACTGCAATATTGCTCAGCTTTTAGAGAATGGGGTGACTGCATTCCCTCTCGCTCTACTTTTTTAAATGAGCTGGTGGGGAAAAGGAATAACCATCTTGAGAAACCATGGTAGTAAACCATTTCCTTCTCTCTGTGTACAAATAAAAAAATTCAAAGATATAAGACTTTCAAAATAAATTGTACTGCAAAGTACTTAAGGATGAAAGATAAATTCCATGCTGAGTTTTAATTGAAGAAGCACATATCATTTCCTTTCTCATTAGTCTTAGAGTTCAATTCACTCCATTACCACCTGCCTCAAACCAGATGAAATTAAACAAACATTAAAAAATACTGCCTTGAAGTTTGAAGGGGAAATCAATATAAAGTGAATAGTCAGCATGGAATAAGCTGCCTCTAAAGATGTACTAAAATATAAAATAATTGAATAAATTAAAATAAAATTAAGAAAATACTCATCATATTCAAGGGTAAAATTATTAGGAAGAGAGAAAAAAATAAGGTAAATTCTGTAATAGCTATAACAAAGCTGATGCTAGAAGATCTATTTAAGGGAAAAGAGACTTTTTTTATTTGGAAAATACATAAGCAAACCAGTTTTGACATCCCTGCCTCAAGAGATCTGTCATCATGATAAATTGCTTAGTCGTTATTTGGAGTTATAATAGAATGAGTACCTTAAAAATGTCAGACAATCATTCATCACGAATGATTATGACAACACTCGGTATTGGAGGCTGGAGACTGATATACTTCACCACTACTTATCAAAAAAGTGAAGTTCCAGAGCAGCCTTTGCCTCATTCCTTCCTAGCGTGTCTAGCATGTCCCATAGTGTCTGGGAGTTAAATGTAAAAATGCAAGTATTTTAGAAATAAACAAAATAACTGTTAATTCTCATAAGGAATGAATATTTCATTTATCATAGCATGAGAGAGATTCAATTGCTTAAACACTGGTGTCCAGCACCATTTTTGATGTCTTAGGGTATCCTGCCTGGCTTATGAGGTGCTGCTCAAGAAGGATGCAGGCTTCTCTATAAAGGTGCTACTCCCTGTCTGACAGCCAGCTGCAGAAGATTCAGATACCTCAGAATGGTACTAGAGACCCATGTTTAGGGAGCAGAATCTTCCCCATATTTCTAGCTGTATTTTATCACACATCTCACTCCTGAATGTTCTTTAGTAGTACATGCATTACTTTGCAGATAGGGATTAGACAAGGACTTCTATTTAGCTTTTACCTAACCTGATGAGAACAGAAAAAACATGAACCAAAAAATTATGTCAGTGTCACTGTCCTGTTCTGCCTTACTCCCAGTTATCTTGCTATTGATAAGAACAATTAGTGACATTGTAGCAATATTCCTGATTTGAGTTCCTTTGGGTAAACTTATTTAATGCATCCACTAATAAACATTTTTAAGGAGGTGTAGATATGTGAAATATTTGATCATTTTGCTCTCCCATTAGCAAAGGAGTAAAAGTACAAAAATAAAAAGTTGCATTTTATGTCTTTAATGTCTTCAAAAATTTGAACTTTGCTAAGATGTTCACTTGTGAAGGACATCGCATCAAAAGAAAGAATGGAAAAACATCAGGAAGGATTACTGTGACTACAGTTTAGGGTGCCTAGATCTCGTGTTAAGCAAGTGCATCAACTGTCTAACAGCAAAATCACAACAAACCAGACCAGCCTTTTTCTTTTTTAAGGCTTATTTATGCTTCAGTATTTGACTCAGACAAAAATATGCCAGACACTTTCTGGTCTAAAATTAAATTGTCATGCTGAAAAGTATGTCTAGTACACTTTCCAGGCTCCTACTTGCTTAAGGATTTCAGATAGCTTGTACTAAAACAAAAGGGTTGTGTTTTCACAAACCTGGGTACGGCATTCTGATGAAACAGACGGTCCTATAGAACATCTGCTATTCCTGGTGTCCTGCAAAGGTTTCCTAAAGCCAGGTGGTAATGCAGGACCTATAATGGGCCTTGAGGGAGGAGAAAAAAAAAAAATCTTAGTTTTAAGTTGAGGAGAAAAAAGAAAAGGAAGTAACATAACCAACATGCACTTTACATTAAATGACTGCCTGCTGTAGGAAAAAAATGTAATAGTTTAATATAAAAATAAAAAGCTGATGAGAAGTGTTATTCTCTTTCCTCCCCATGCCAAGTGTGCCCTCTATGTGCATACCACCGAAATAACTGAATAAGAGGAGTTTCTCCATTTTCCATGAGGACCTCTGCAGATAGCTGGGATGCAAGAAAACCAGGAAAGCTGTAGCACATGGTCAAGGAAATTAACTTTCATCTTCCCCAGCTTCCTTCACCAGGTTAAAGAGCAATGAAAGGTAGGAGGTCAAATATACACTATTCTTTCATTCTTGCCTTGCACCACAGTTCCACTGTTCTTCAATAAACAATCCGTGAACTGCTCTGATTTTTTAAGTTTATTTTTCCTTGGTGTGGAGATGAGAGAAGAAAAGTTTTGTGATCCCAAGTAACTTCACTGATTTTTCACACAGCAGCTCTGCGAGCAGTATAATTCAGTTGTCTCCAGGAATATATAGAGAGGTGAGAATCTCTTTTCAATGGTGAAAACAGTTCAAAGCATACTACAAACTGTGCTTGCAGTACTGAAAAGACTTTTGTATGAGTTCCTCTTCATAAGCCACCATCATATTTTTTAAAGCTAATAAAAGCTAACTAAAACCCCAAACAATTATCACCTGAAGAAATATCCAAGTGACAGTATCCTCACAACGTATCAGCAGGGACTTTGTTTATGATTATCTTCGGTTTCTGAGCTTTAGGGCAATCAAACATAACACAACATGAATTGAATTATGCTAATTATGGTCTTCTTCTAAATCCCACATAATCTAATCATACAGCCCCACTGCAGTGATATTATTGTCAGGATTTGAAGAGGGGAAATGAAAAGCAGAAAATCCTGCCAGAAAGCCAGCCACAGACAGACAGACAAGCAATAAATGTGAGCTCAGGCCAGGACAAGGGTACTAGTGAGGTTTCAAACCCAGGCAAGAGGTCTGGGTTAAATTTGAAATTCCACCCCCACCTAGCTGCTGTAAAAAATAAACCGCTTTTATTTTCCTCTGTTCTCTTCTGACTGCTTTCTTGTTAACACCATATTTTAAATTCCCAATATAAGGAGACTGAATTTAAACCTATATAGATATGGCCAAAACAGTGTTTTATTTTAGTATACAAGTACCTCTATTTTGCATGGAGAGACAGTTAAACCATACTATAAAAAAGCTTTCGACAAAAATACATAAGAACATCTATGTTGTGGGCTGTATCTGTGCAACTTGTGAAAAAGAGCAGATCTTAAAATCTCTGCCTTGCTTCTGTCATTGCTCAAAGGCTCTTGCAAGGAATAGAAAAATGGTTCCCATATTCATCCCTCCCACGCTTTCCATTTCTATGTTGCTTTTTTTTTTCCCCCCACATGAATAACCCGTTGCTCGGGTCTTCCCTTGGCAGCACACAACTGACATGATTCTTGACAGTTTCCTGGATGTCCAAAGACTCTCTGAACAGGTGAAGTGAATCTAAATAAAGCTCTATTAGTTGTCAATTTTGGTACCTACCTATACACATTCAGAAAACCACCCCAAACTTATCATGAATTAAGCTTTCATTTAAGGAATACTGAATTTCATATATGGCAAAAATGCTTCCGTACTCAACAGTCCTTGCTAATGCATGTTTCAAGATGGGTATTTCAGCATTCTTCTGATGTGTAACGTAAAATTTTTGAAGATAATCTTCACTCTTTACCTTGAGGTATGAATACTTCAGGAATATTTATGAGTGCTGCACTTCTGTCTAACTCTGATAACCAGCAATATCCTTTCCAAAGTTGAAGGAAATCTGTTCATATATAGATTTAATGCTGAAATGATCCAAACAAATTTTAACAAGCTGCAAATTGCCACATGAGCTGCTCCAAATCATGAATAAGTTGCTTTGACAAGTCTGGAAAAGATGCAACAGAACAAAAGCTTTTCTAAAAGAACGAGTATGTCACACAGAGCTGATAAACAGCACATCCATACACTGAAACAAACAAAAATTTGTTTCAATTATTCATGGCTAGATCATCAGCTGACAATCTGCTCAACACTAGGGGCAGTGCAGCAGGAGACATTTAACAGCATTGTGTCTACACCCTGCACAGCGTGTATACCTCAGTGTGTCAGCACAACTAGACTGCCAGGTGTATGGGGGGTGGAAGATAGACAAGGATCTTCCCACACATCACACCTTTCCCACCTATTCAGAAAATCAGTCTGGGTGCAAAACAGCTCTGTTCAATCTGCCTTCTCAGTATGTGCTAGGAGCAGTTGTATGGTGTGCTAGGACAAAAAAAAAAAACCTCACAACCCAATGGTGAGCTAGGACAAAAAAAAAAACCCCAACAAAACTAGCAAGTGCCTTTCACTGCTTTAATCTCGTACTCACAGACATGGAGCAGACTTTTGCCCTCTGAATGTAAATGCAAATTATGTAGCATTTTGGAAATAAACTGCTAAATAAAAGTTGGGTGAACATATAAAAGACTAAGATTATATGATGGGTGACCACCTGGGTTACTGCTCTCTAACCTTCAAACTACAAATTGACTCTCTTCCTCCTCTTTTCTTTTGCACACTTTCACAAAACATTTTACCATAGGAATATTCATGCCAAAAATCAAGAAAGCAGGAAGGCTACTTCTGCTGATATTAAAAGCTACAAGAATTTATTTGCTTTATTAGAGATCACATTCTTTTTAGTGACTACCTAAATTTTAAGGCTTAAATAACACATTGTGCACATGAAACACAAGAAAAAAAACCCCACTTGTTACTCTTGGGACCATCAAAGCACCAAACGAATCCACTGATCATGATACCCACAATTACAAATTAGTTTGTTGATCACAGCAAAGTGTAACCAAACAGATATGAAGAGGATATTTCCAAATAACCTTAGTTACATAAATTCTTGTTTTTCTAACTGCTGCCAAGCATCATAAAAATTTACCCAAAACAAAAAAAAAGAGTCAGCTTTGAAATCTCCTTTGAGATGGTATACTACACATATAGCTTGATGACAAATTGAGTCACTTTCCTAGAATTAAAAACTCATACCTGACAGGTGCATATTGATTTCATTTATTTACCAGCTCCCTATTGCTCTGAGTAAGGTAATAGTCATCAGGGGACTCTCTTGTACCTTTCATCAATAAGCATCCCCTTAGAAGTACCAATTTCACTATGGATTATAATTTCAAATTATAGGAGGAAGTATCCAGATAAATATAAAGACTAGAAGGCTTTATGGTTAAGTTCTGCATAGAAAATCCGTAGTTTATAATTGCATGCAATCAGATGGAAAGTTTCCTGATAGAGGCTATAAATAATGCTTACTTGCTTAGACATGACAGCTTGCTTTCTAGAAACCTATACTGTTCAGATGAGTTTTCTACCTGGAGACACATAAACAATAATCCTTAGTGCATTAGCAAACAACAAATCCAATAATCTGCATTGTATTGTAACACAGAAAAGCTAACTGTCCTACTTCCTCACAGCCCAGAATTAACTACAGAACTATGGGTCCTCGAACCTGTAATTTGTTTTTTCTGCACTGCTCTGAAATCTATCGTAAGGAAGAATTCGACTTTCAAAATATAGATCAGACAAATCACATTTTTTCTTTTCCTCTGCAACCTTCCAACCAAGACTAGGAGGGGCATGTGTTCTGTTTCAAGTGAATATTGTTGCTGTTCTCAGAATGTGGAGGAAGCAATTCTTGTCATATGAATCTGAAGTGCACAACTGAAGTGTTCTGTAATAGTGACACAAAATATTTTATCTAAAATAATTGTGTTTTAAGGAAAAGAGTCTGAATATAATTCCATTTTAATTACCTCTCTGGAGAATCATCCTGTTTTTTAAATCCAGGAGGAAGAGCAGGCCCAAAAAAGCCATCATCATCATCATCATCTTCATGAATTCTTTTTGGCTTTCTGCAAATACAAAGATTTAACTTAGTAATTACCTTGGCATGTATAGCGATTATCTACATTTTAAAAAGGGAAAAAAAAACCCTATAAAATTATTTCAGACAGTCTTATGTACTAAATATCCTACTGTTACCAAGGTAACAGTGCAAAAGGATCCAAAATTATTTGAAGCAATTAAAAAATTGGGAGCATAAGCTTCACTCCAAAAATGCTCTGACATTTAAAAAAAACATTAAGGATGCTTTTGCAGTAGAAAGAAGAGCAGTAAAATGCTGAAATACCAGTTTCTAGTCACAAAGTTACTTTAAATTCAGCACACATTCTCCATTTTTATACACTGTCTGCATTTTGACTAGTATTTTTCCCAGTTAAATTCTAATTAACTGAGAAACTGTTCAATAAGACAAGGGAAAAAAAGAATAAGAATTACTCTAACACTCATTAAGATGATATAATGCCCTTCCAAGTCCCTTATACAAGGCCTAGCACAAACACACAAGTTCTTAACAGAGCAGTTGTGAGTAATCAACCTCACCAAATGAGAGTATGTGCAGACTCCTGTTATTTGCTAAACATTTTTTTTTTAATTAGACTTAATTGAATGCATAAATTCATGCCCATAATAGTTCTTAGGACTTCTCAATGAGAGGTAATATACCAGAAACAGGGCAAAACTCAAGTACCAAATACTTACATACATGATAGGTGGTGTCTCTCCTCAGTATAAACAAGCAAAACATTAAAGATTTTATTATTTTAATTGCAGAACTAAAATAAAACATGTCAATAAAGAGAACTAACTGCCCTAAATAACTTAATTCCACTGTAGGGTGTCAAACAGGTCAGTTGAACATTCCTGACCTCAAACACCACACAGAACATCATCAAGTTTTACACAGGTACAGGGTTTACTTTTTTTATTTATATAAAATACTGTCCCTTCCTCGTAATTTATGCAGACATTTCATTAGCAATACAATGTAATGATACAAATAACCAAAGCACAGACTTACTTGGGTGCTGGATCTCCTTCTGCCTCCTCTTCAGAATCGCTGTTTGCATCTCTGGGTAGAGGAATTGATTCTGAGTCTTCATCACTGTCAGGAGTTTCTGAGCTACAGCTGCTTTTATAGCCTGGGGGCAGTGCTGGTCCTGCAACTGAACATCCAGTCGTTTGGGATACTTTTTAAACATTTGAAATGAGCATGCTCAATCTTGGTATTCCCAAAACAAAACATATCTACCTAGAATTGTTTATTCAAACTTTGCTCTGTCTAGCATTTTGAGAAGATACATAGACAAACTTCCAGAAGTCACTTTTTTCAGCACCATATTTCAATGAACAACCCCTCCTGAATTAAATTAGCACATCACTAATCTGCTATTACATGAGTGTCTTCTGGAACAGGACTAGAAAGCCCTGTATTATCTAACAACTGGTTTACAATGCACTTGCTATAAACTGGCATATTTAAAATAAATCACCACCTTAATAAAGCATTTGAAGCTTTCTAGCAAAGAATCACATCATTTGTACATACACAGAATGAGAGACCATGGATTCATGGAATTTAATTGCCAGCCTGTTTTAGCAATGGTTTAACAATTAAGATTATTCCCAGTTCAGCTAAGCATGAACAGAAGGTACAGAGTTAAGCACTCTGCTGAAAAATGGATGAATTACGCATTCAGACTTCAAAGAATTGTTGCTGTCAGAAGGCCGGAGCAGGGGATGGAGATCTCATACTCCAGTCAACCCTTCACCCTCTGGAGTAATGAGGAAGTAGGGGGGCGTTATCCCAGTAAAGAAAAAATTCAGACACTAACACTGCTAACAGGCCTGAGCTGTTTCTGGCACTGTCCACACCAGCAGGCACAGTTCTTCATAGACTTATTTAGACATAGCACCCTGTACACTGGATCCAGAAGCAGCTTAGCCACTGACCTAACATCAAATGGTCCCCAAGAGAGACACTTAACACAGATACCCTCACAGGCTCAATCAACACAGAGCCAGTTGGAATAAACAAAGACCAGCAACGGTTGCAGGAGAAGAGGCCTTCCCAAATCCAGGGCAGCACATGCAGGGCCAGCACCACTTACACACACAGCATGAATAGCTATCTGATATAATCGTGAGCTGATCCTACTGATGATTTAGTATCCTAAAACACAGACACTGTTCCTCCTTTTAATATTTCATGCACTGAGTCCAAGAATGACAGGACAGAAAGATGTTTTGGTGGGGAACAGACATTGTTAGCTTTATGAATAGCCAAAGGTTAGATGAAAAGATGAGGTGCAATAAAACCATGTAAATGAAGGAGACCAGGAAATTACATCTCCAGTTAAAGAACTACGTCTTTTTGATGGTGGAAAAAAAAACCTGTTACGATTATGGTTCCATTGTTGGCTGACAAAGGCTACGCAGAAACCAAGTCCTTCAAGTGAGCTTCATAATGCTTGTACTCATCTATAGCACAAGGACAAGGACAGTCTACTCGTTGCAAAGCATCCAGACAGATCCGCCACTTATTTTGTTTTCTGTTTTAACAGGAAAGACTTTAACCAGGACATACAAATCCATTTCAACACTAAGAAAAAAATACCACACAACATCACAACAGATGAATGATAAATAGGACTACAAGACTGCTATTAAGAAGACTCCCATTTTGGTATGAGAAACATGACTGGATAAAAAGCACTTAAAAACGCACAACAGTTTTCTCGAGCCAGATGGTGCCCTGATACCATGAAGCTCTGAATGCAGATAAGAGACAGGACTTGGAGTGAAAGGAGCAAACTGAGATGCAGTTTGATGAATCTGATACTGCAGAGGAAGAGAGAAATCAAGAGCAGCTTCATGAGCTGGAAAGAACTAGTAAAATCAAAACTATTTAAGGAAGGAGAGTGGTCCCACTGATACGTTGTCCAACATCAGGGCTAAGTTACATGATTTGCTTTCTATCCCAATTCCTCTCCATTATGCCAGCACAACTGTTTGCATGGGCTATGCAATGAACTGGATCAGGGAACTTAAGAGGCATAAAAATAATGCTGTAAAACCCAGCACTCCCCCGTGAAAACTGATTGTTCATGCAATTGCAGCCTAAGCAGGACAATCAGAAACCAGTCTCATGAACAGAGACTGGTTCATGAAGGGAAAATGGCATTTAAAGCCTAGGGAAGGAAAAGTCATTGGACATGGTAAAAGAAATGGAAGAGAAAGAGACTTGGGAGAATGGGGATTAAAAATTAATACGGTCATGGTTCTGACTGAGACTTATAATCAGCACAGGTGAGGATACAGCTATGCATCAAGGGTGGGGTGGGGAGCTGAAGTAAAGAGTAGAAAGGAAGGAATGGGAACTGATCCTGAGAACAAAGGAAACAGTAAGGAGGGAAGGCAATATCTAATGGGAAATCTGTGAATTAAATTCCCTGAAAGCCATGGAAAAGTACACAGATACAGATCAAAGGAGGAATGGATGAGAGCTCAGAATCTCAGAAAACTAAAACCAATGAGGTGAGAGAAATAGATGTAGCAGTGGTAGAGCAACCGGAAAGCGAGGAAGTAACCAGAAGTCAGAATAACTCTGAGCAGGACAGTGGGGTAAGAGAGTGTGAGAAGAAAATTTTGGGAATGGAGAGGAGAGAAACAGAGTCAAGGATACGTCTCAAGTCAGACTGAAGGGACTGGTTCACAGCTGCTAGAAGTGGCCATCCTACTATTGCTGCTCTGACTTGCCCTCTCCACTGAGCTGGTTCTGGTGACTATCCACCTGAAAATGAAGTAATTTCAATTCAGAAACAAAATTAGAAGCTACTTTTTGATTTGGTTTTGCTAGGTTATTTTCCATTGTATTTGGCGATTCTAAGCAATCTACCATGCCATCAGACAGGCACTGGGAACCCCTCAAGGACAGACAGGAGTAGGGCCTTTCACCTTCAGCAGCAGTGACGGATCAACTCTGACACATCACATCAACGCATCTGTACTTTAACAAATGTGGCCTCAATGCTGAAATAGATAAAACCTCCTTCTGCATCTCTGGTTATTTCTAGCCATTCCCTAGCATTTCCTTCCTGCTGGTACAACAACAGCACAGAGGTAGGGACAAACAGGTCAAAGGAAGTATGATTCTTCCAGCAAGGAATTTAGGCCAGCTTTGGAGGATCATCATGAGATAAAGAATCAGGAGATGACTGTGTCCCACGGGTCAGACAGTGACAAGCTGAAGAAGGAAAGGAAATGGATTTACTAGGGATGAGCTTTTGAGTCCATCCAACTACCAGTTGCTCCCATCCTGGTCCTGGCAAAAGTCCATTTCATCTTCCCCTGTGCTGACCTACTGTCAGAGCAGCAACCGGAACCTTACCTTAGTTAAATTCCCTTATCTTCCAAGTCAGGGATAAACAAGGAAATGAACAAACAAGCTTTTAACCCTGCTCATGTCACAATGCAAAACACCATGTTAACATCAATGTGATTACACAGGATACAATTACTCCATCTTCAGTTTTAGTTATTTTTTTTTAAAAAAAGGTAAAAATCTGCACGCTCAAAGTTACAACCATTAACAGAGCTGTTATGTCAGGGGTTGGAACTAGATGATCTTTCAAGTTCCCTTCCAACTCAAACCATTCTGTCATTCCATGTTATCTATATAAACATGAAAGAAATGCAGATTTAAGAATGGATCAGCAGACATTTTTGTTGTTCACTACATCTAGCACAGCAGTGTCATATCGCAGACTGAAGACAAATGCTTATCTGGCAGCCAAAAGGGAAAACTGCATCCTGGGGTGCATCAAACACGACATGACCAGCTGGTCAAAAGAGGTGATTATCCTGCTGTATTCATTGTTGGTGTGACCTCACCTTGAGTACTGTGTGCAGTTCTGAGCTCCACAATTTAAGAAGGGCATGAAGGTACTCAAATGTGTTGAGAGGAGAGCAACAAAGCTGGTGAAAAAGCTGGAAGGAATGTCCTGTGAGGAGCAGATAAGGACTTGGTCTTGTCTAGCTTGGAGAAAAGGAGGCTGAGTGGTGACCTCATTGCTTTCTGCAGCTTCCTGAGGAGGGGAAGTGGAGAGGGAGGTGCTGATTTCTTCTCCCTGGGATCCAGTGATAGAACGTGTGGGAATGGTTCAGAGCTGTGCCAGGGGAGACTTAGACTGGACATCAGGCAGCATTTCTTTACCTAGGGACTGGTCAAACACTGGAACGGCTTCCTAGAGAGGTGGTTGATGCCCCAAGCCTGTCTGCATTTAAGAGGGATTTGGACAATGCCCTTAACAACATGCTTTAACTTTCTGTCAGCCCTGAACTGGTCAAGCAGTTGGACCAGATGATCATCGTAGGTCCCTTCCAACTGAAACAGTCTATTCTATTCTCTTATATTATAGTTCTGAATTAAACCTTTTTGACAGAGTTCTCAGAATGGCTGCTCAAAGTCCTACTTTGTTGCTGTTGGGAGGCAGAAACTATGAAAGTATAATAAAAAAACAAGTGTTCTTAATGAAAAGTAAAGAGCAGCTCAAATATCAGTGAGATCAGAAGGAAAGAAAACCTACTGAAAAAGCCATTCAGCCTGAAAAGGTGAAATATCTCTTAAAATAGCTGGAATGCACAAGGAAATAGTTACAGAACAACTTCTAGTCCCATTCTGTCTCAAGACCCAGCAAGTGTTACAGTGCAGAAGACGTGGCAGACCCACTACATCATTTTGGCACTCAGAACCTCCAGGCATAGGGCTCCAGCTGGAGCTGTACTTCTGTACAACAAAGTGTGCTACACCAAAGTATTCGCTCTCTCTTCTTCCTCTGCACTGCAGCAGTATGCCTCGTGTTGAGCAGGTATGCTCAATTGTTGTGCCAAGCTGTTATAAGTCAGGAAACGTTTTTAGAAGTTATAAAAACAAATAACTAACTCCCTAGTTGCTGTTTTTTGGGGGGTTTCATTGTTGCTTTTTTTTTTTAAACAAAAGCAAACAAATTCCTTCATCCACTTCACACAGAAATCCCCAAGCAGATCTGCAGTGTAACTGTACTATGATAAAGCTGCTGTACAGTGGACTAAAAAGTAGACAAACTAGGCTGGATAACCTAGCCTAGATATAGCCAAAACACTTGGTATCATGAAACCACAGCCTCATGATAAATTTAACTTGTTTTGTTCAGTGGATTCATACACAATATAGATATTTGCAACACATATCAGTACACTGATAGAAAGTGAGTAAGCCATCAACACAGATATGAATAGGAAAGGTTGCATCATCTCAACCAAGAGTGTAGCCTGGGCTTCAGTACAAAGCCAAGGTATGAAACTGGAGCTTGATGTTGCTATGGTGTCAGCTAAGGCAGCAGCTTTGCTCTCCCTTCCTATTGCTCCCTCTTCTGGATTAAAAAATTAGAAGAGCAGATAAGCACAGCAAACCTTCCCAGTTGGAGCTGCTTTGTTTAGAATAACCCAATGCTCACTGAAACACTGCCAGAAATTGAATATATATACTAGTGCCTTGAACCTGGATTAAAGGCAGGGAGTACTAACGCTCAGACTGCTACTCCCAGAGATATTATTGACGCAGAACATTCAAGAATTTAAGTGGGGGCAACTGAGCTCCACTGCAGAAGAGTCAGCCTGGCAGTCTCTGAGATAGCCCACTTCTGATGTGACTGCTCTCAACCCGGCCGGTGAGGCACCCCAGCCTCCCTGATCACAAGCCAGGGCGGCATCCCGAGGAAAGCCGACTGAAAAACGATAGTTTCATGAAATGCTTTGGTTTGACAAGGGAAAGCAAACTCCAAACACCTAACCACCACCTTCTTTTCTTCTGCCTGCTAACTTCACTCTCACAGCTACCAAAGAATACAGGCCGAAAAGCGCATATGGGACTTGAGCTGGGAAATCATAAACAAATCAACGCCGTGGTTTTTTAAAAACATGTTTTAGACCTTTGCGTATCAGTAACACCCCATCACATCATATTTCTTTCCTCTAAAAAAGTCAGTACAAAAACCACCCGTGAAGTTGAGCTCTGCCGAGGCGCCCCACTGGCGCAGCCCGGGCTGTGGAACATCCGCCGCGCAGCCACGTTGCTCCCCTCACGGAGTGGCCGCGCCCCGCTGCCCCACGCCCGTTTCGGCACCTACCCGCACTGAGGCTCGTCCCCGCCGCGCCCCTGAGGAGCGGCGAGACATGGGGGGCCGCCCCGGCCCCCACAAGGGCCCGTCC